TCCATTTCGCTTGTGATTAGGGAAGTTAAAACCACAGCAAGGTGCCATTTCGCACCTACTAGGATGGCAAAAGTTAGTAAATCTGAGAAAACCAAGTATTGGTGAGGATGTGGGTAAACAGGAACTCATATCTTACTAGTCGTGGGATGGGTATATAAACTGATAAAATTATTATGGAGATCAATTTGTCACAACTAAGAGAAACTGATAACCACCAAGCATCTCCACTTCTAGGTGTTAGCCATGGAGAAATTACACACATGTGCACAGGACGTACAAGAGACTTCACTTGAGCATGGTTTCTAATAGTAAAAAAGTGGAAACCACCTAAGAGCCCATTGTTAGAGGAAATGGAGAATTGAACTTTTGTTTTATTTGCACAACAAAACACTTTACGTAAAAAAGCCCTGCGCATCAGTGAAAATGAATGAGATTTATATATGCCAAAATAAAAATAATTTGAGTGAAAAAAGTTTACAAAAGAATGTAACAGTAAGATTCTATTTGTGTAAATTTTGAAAACAAAGACTAATGTGTATATGTCATAAAAGTATAAAGTTTAAAAATCAGAATGATATACACTAACTTCAGGGGAGAGGCTACATTGGGATGAGCTTTAGTATATCTAAACTTTTTGGATTGTGTGGGTACAAGGAAACAGTTAAGCGAAGAGGCCAAAACATTAACAACTGAGCAGTTTGGATGATGAGTGCTTAGCTGCCTGTTAAGTTCGGTTTTCTCTTTTTTGTATATTTGAAATGTTTCATAAAAAAATTATATGTGGAATTACCAAATTATAATCTAACTGTAACAGTTTCCTTTTGCTCCTGAAATAACTTGCATTGCTTACTAATGCAGGAAGATTTTATGCGTCATCAACATGTGTATCCAAACCATAATTAGAAACCTTTTTCAAAGCTCATCTTATGATGGTTCTTTATGCATTTCCTGGGCCAGAAGCAAAATTAATAAGGGTGAGATGCTCTGATTTGATTTTGTTCTTCGGTTCAACCCGTATCCTTTTGTACCAGATTATCGTCCAAGTTTCAGGCAGAGCTTGCACAGAATGTACGAAGGTTGATAGCTAGAAAACTAGTCTTTAAGATTTGGATTATTTGATATCACACAATTTTGATGAGTGATAAACAGAATTTTTTGCCATAAATGCATATTAAGGCCAATTTATGTTTTAAATAAAGACATCTCAGTAATTACCATTGTGCTTGGGCAGAATGAAATGAAAATGAAAAGCACTGTCTCGGCAGAGACAATGTCTATGGAATAAAAGTCTAACAACTTGCATCCCCTGGTGGAAAATACAGTTAATACATATGTTGCAGTGCAGTGAAGACTCAGTGATAATAGTGCACGTCAAGCACCTTGCACAGTAAAAGGCATGTAAATAAATATATTTTACTTTGCTTCCCATGTCCTCGCATGTAAATTTGAAGGGGGGAAATAAGCAAAAGAGTTTAGGAGAAACCTAGCTAGCACTTCTCTTCCAGTTCTGAGTCGACTGTTACCACAGCCCAACCAGGCCTCCTCGTCTTCATCTGCAAACCAGACTGAACTGAAGCACTGCCGCAGCCGCTCAGAGGAATGTGTTCTCAACTGGGCCATGTAGCTATGAAAAAGACATTTCTACCTCATCTGAGTTGATATAATTCAGATTATAGTCTGAGTTTCCATTGCTTTCTTCAAAAATACAAGTTCCTTGCGAAGATCATGGTGTCTTGTGGTGCCTGGCAGAAAAGTTTCTCAGTCAATGTCATATCTGGTGTGAATATTTTCCCAGTTTGTGCTTTTGCTTTTGTTTTTATGGTTTTTGACAAAAAACGAATCTACTTTTTTGAGTCAAATCTATGCATTTTTCCCTATGGTCTTATCGATAGAGAGTTCTTTCCCATCCACAAATGAATTAGTTACTTACATATTTTTTAATCTTTTTAATGGTTTCATTATTTACATTTAACTCTTTAATCCACTTACTGTGGGAGGGGGTGGGAAACAAGGTGAGGCTATAAATTGGCTTTTGATTTTAAATAAGGACGGCACTCTATTAATCCATCCCTTCCTTCCCTGATGATTTTTGTGGTGTCTCCTTGATTTGTGGTGATTCTCTCTGAGGGAGGAAAGTATATTAGAGCCACTCTGGAAACTTTTACAAAATTCAGTTAACCACCACTTTGCAAGATTCTAGCACATCTTGACTAACAGAATCGTAGCTTTCCCTCTGATTTGTTCCTGCTCCCACCCTTTTGAGAGTCATTAATTTGTCAAATAATGTTTTTCCTGTACCTCTGAAGATCTGCTTAGAGGTGTATATCCTGTTCCGAAAACTGAGAAGTTTATCTTGGCATCTGTCCCACAGTGTTCTCCTTATTAAAAGATAAGAATATGTTTTAATATCTGGTAAAATAAATTTCCATTTATATTTCAAAAGGCTAAAAATAATTAGCTTGTTAACATGTTTCTGCAGAATCCAGGTTGCCTGTTGAGAGAACTCAATTTCATGCTGTTTTTCTCTTGTGGATAACTTTCAGTAAGTCTTTGCTTCAAAGAGTTGTAATTATATTAGTTCTACTTTTATATCAGCAGGACTGAAAAATCCATTTTAAAAAGAAGTTGAAAACAAAACCTTTTGTACTAGAACAGAATCTTCTTTTTCTAGTGACCTGATCTTAGAAATTCAACCACCATCAAACCAGTTCTGCCCAGAATAGTTTTTCAAAACTGATAGCAATGCTCAGCATTTAGGTCTCACTCTGGCAGCCAGGAAGATAATTTTGCCCTTATTTGGGTTTGCATATGTGAGATGTTATTTAGAAACTTTTTCTGGAGACCTTTTGTAAAGGGAGGATATAGTACTTCTGAGTTTCCTTTTTCTATGTGCTTCTAAAACTAAAACTTGGGTTGGGGGACGTAGGGACAGTGTTTCCTGCTCGCATACACTAATGCTTAGTGAGAAAGAAAAGGTTATATGTAATAAATAGCCTTAAATTTAGTCAGTCAGTGGCATGTTTTTTTCTACAAATTTAGAAACATTCTCAGGATTCAGGTCACTCTAAGGCATGTTCTTAGTGAAACTTCTTTTGGTAAACAAGATTTGTTATGAGCTTATAGGCAGGTTGACTTTTACCAAAATGTATCTTACCACAAATATAGCAAGCATTAACTCAGTGTACTTTTTAACTTTTTTAAGAATGCCATTGTGCAGGGCTTTATAGAGATCATCTCAAATTTTGAGACAGGTTCTAGAACTATGAATGTCTTTGTTTCTTTTAACATTTCATAAAACTAATAATAATAATGTAGTTTAACCATTCAAACTGTATGTGTACAATAGATACATGGAGGGATATAAAATATTTACCAGTAATATAAAAAAGTAATTTTGAGAACATGAGGGAAAAGCAATATTTAAAATCATATAAACAGGAATGCTAATTTTTTTATTGTTCAAAATATTACAGATGTCCCCTTTTCTCCCCATTGACCCCTTCCAAGAAATGCCAAATTTCAGTTAGGTGATATTTGTTAACATTGTCAAAGCAAGGCAATTAATATAAATTTTATCACTTTTTTCTGAGCCTCTAACTTTTCTGCAAATTTTAATTTTTATTCTCAAATATTTTTGTTTTTTAAATATAATTCTGCATTGGCCTATTCTTTATTCAACCAATTGTGTGCACTTATTGAAATAGAACTACCTGAGCACTAATTGTATACAAGCCAGATCTCATGAAAATAAATTCAACCCTAACAAAATTCTTTATACTCTTTTATTTTATATACTGTTGCATATTGATTTCTTAATCAGTGGCCTACCTGAAGTTCCAAGAAGTGTTCTGACTATAAATAATTCGCATAATCTGTGAGAGAAACTTATGAATGGTTCCTCAGAGTTTGTCCTAACAAACTTTTACGTATTCAGTCAGTGGCATTCTGATTCTGTCTGACCAAAGAACAAATGCCAGCTGAGCTTTTGAGAATGGCTGCCTTGATGACATCTCCTTATTACAACTGTATGATGTTCTGTGCAGCTATGTCCAGATAGGACTAGGGGAAAAAATAAAATAGACCCCATCTTTCAATTCTGTTAAGCACCTCTTCCTCCCCTCCTCCATTTCATTCAGTCTTCCATTCATTCACTCATTCATTCAATTATTCAACAAATATGTACTGATTTCCTATATGCCAGGCAAGGCATTAAACTCCAGGGAGTCAGTGATGAATAAGACCCCTTTCTCTTAGATCCTACTCCAGTTCTTTTTGAACATTCATGAAATTTTCAGAATTTGTTCCTTTTCATTCTAATCTACAGTGTTCTTTTATGATTGTGAGCTTTTTCAAACAGACATATACCCAAAACAGTGTAACAAATGCTCGTACACTACCACACACGTTTAACGGACATTAACATTTTGCTTCAAATCCCTCCACATATAACCATTAACTTTCAGCTAGTGTGCATGTTGTGTTTATTACCATGCATGGTTTTCATATTTATTGTGTATCTGTAGATCCATAAAGAATATGGTGCTGCTTCATATGTTTTTGTATTTTGCATAACTGCTTTCATATGTCACATGGCCCTTTGCAGTTTGTTTGTTTTGCACGCGACATTCTTTCTGAGAGTTCTGAGAGCTCATTTCATTAAAGCGCTGTGCAGAATTCCACTTTGTGAGCAAGCCACTGTTTAGTTCCCCATTGCTTTGCTGATGCACACTCATTTAGGCTGTTTCCAAGTGTTTAGTATTATGAGCAGTAGTTCACTGAGCATCATTACATGCTTTCTTGTGTACATGTTTGAGGTTCTGTAAGATGTATAGGGTGTGCACATGTTCAGTTTTACTCTACCAAAGTGTGGTTCAAGGTGGCCAAGTTTTAAGTCCTGTTGCTAGGCTATTGCATTCTTAGCTCATCTCTTGTTTGATCTTACTACACAATATTTAAATTCCTTCCATTTTATCTAGACAGTGATAAATATTGGGTGATTGCATTTTTTATTAGAAGTTTATTATCATTTCATTTATTATAGAGAGATAGGCATCAATGAATACAGCGGCAAATTTACAAGCTTAAGTGGCACTCAACATATATTTTCTGACATTTTAAATCAGTCCTCAAATCATTTAACTTTAAACACACTTTAAATTAGTATCAGATGCTTAATTTTCAGTAACTACTTTAGTGACTTGAGAAACTAACATTTCCTTTAATTATTCTATTGTTAAAGCCATAAATTTCACTTAACTTTATAATCTATGTCATGAGTGTTAGCTTCACAATATATTTTGAAAAGATTTACATGCAGATTTAAAATCTAGTGATAAGCGTAAGCTTTTCTTTTTCTTGAAATATTTTATAATTAAGCAAATGAAATATCACAAAGAAGAAAAGAGCTTTGAGAAGATCTAAGCCTTATAAATGCTAGAGTTTTGTTTTGTAATTTTTTAGTTCTTCAAGGAATTAAGAGGCTTTTTAATATGTTTAGCCCCAGTGCTTTAAGAAATAGTGTGGATCTTAGCTGCAGTCGACATCTCATGAAGGGAGTATCCTGGTTTATATTCCGACGTGCTTTCACTCCTGCTCGATTCCCCTTGAAATCCTCTAGAAAGAAGTTGGCACATTATTTTGCGGATATTACTGGACATCAGGAAATACATGACTGGATCTAAGCAGCTATTGAAAGATGAGAAAACCAGCATGATCTCATTGGTTTTGTGAACGATTTCCTTCCAATAACAAGATGACACATTTAGCTGTATAGAAATATAGACAAATCGGAAGGCGTGATAGGGAACAAAACATATAGTAAAAATGATAAGCACAATAAAGGAATTCCGGGCTGTAGTGGCATATTTGCCAGAATTAGGAAATTTCGACCTCCTTTTAGAAATCCTCAATAGATTCTTGCCGATCTTAATATATGAAAGGATTATGAGTAGGAAGACTAGCCAGAACATTACCACAAGAACTAAATTAAAAATTGCTTCTCCTTTTGCATTCAGCTTATCTCTATAATGGAAACACATTGTGGAATTGTGACCTCCTTTCTTAAGGGTTAAAATAATCATAGTTAAAAATCCAACAAGAGCAACCGTCCATACTGTACAGCAAACATAAATGCTTTGTTTGGTTGTTAACGCCTTCCGCTGTTGTATGGACCGATTAATTTTTATGTAGCGATCCAGACTGATGAATCCAAGCAAAATAATGCTAATGTACATGTTCATATAGAATAGTGTTCCCACAACCTTGCAAAGAATCACACCTAATGTCCACTTGTTTTGGTTAATGTGATACATTATTCGGAAAGGGAGGCAGAAGATAAGTAAGAGGTCTGCAATGGCTACGTTAAGGAGGTAAATCTGAATGGAATTTCGTTTGCGGTGAATACCCAGAAATACATAGAGGGCAATTATGTTTCCAATCAGTCCCACGATGAAAATAACCGAGTAGAATGCTGTTAACACACTAGAGAGTAATTTCTCATCCATGGGACAGGCAGTAAAATTCGATGCTCCTGAGAAGTTGTGTGGCGATTGGAGGCTGTGGTTCGTTATAAAGCACGCTCCCGGGGAGGAGCAGGGCCGGCTGCTGACTGGAGTCGTCGCTGTCATTGTTAAGACGTGACTTCTCATCATCTTCTGTAGGGATCAAAAAGGGAAGGTACCAAGTGACATGTTCCTTGTGTGTAGCTTTTATACGGTCTTCAGATTTTTTCCTACAACAGAACGCCAAACATTGAGTCATTTGCTATTTTAATACGTTGGTTTAACTCTGAGCATAAATAATAAATGATTTCTTTTCAGACACTGTAAGAAGCTTTACTTTTATCCTACTTTGGACCATTTGAGTGTCTACACTATATATGTAGCAGCATTATGGTATCAAAAACGAGCAGCCAGAATATAGTAGAATCTCATGGAATGTCCTGCTCTAACCTTTCCTATGGCTGTGGTATATGTTCAAGGTTTGTTTTATTTATTATATTAAAATAAATAACTGAAATATGAGATCATCTTCGTTTAGGGAAGTTGTTATGGGAATAGAGATGGAGGTGAAGAGAGACGACAGCTCATGTTTTTCAAAGATGAGCATCAGTTTCCCTAAAGGTAGTTATAGGCATAAGTAAGCTGGGTCCACTGATGGCCCCTGCCAGGCTTCCTACCTTCCTTCCTTCCCTCATATGAGGCATTCATTCATTATGACATGCGCTGCCACGTGGCATGTGACAGGTAAACTGTGGCAGTCTCTCATTCCATGGTAGGAATAGAAAAAAGGGTCCTAAATGTCTTCCTTTTCAACCTAAGACCAAGTTGGATAAATTAAAATGATTTGCCTACAGAGGCATGCAATCAACATAACAGAGCCAGGGAACACAGCCCCTGCCTCGTTAGGCGGACTCTTGCAACACTGCACAGGAGAGCACAGTCTCCAAGCAAAACCCAGTTAGGTGGCGACACTGCCAGTGAGTCAGGTCAGAAAGTCTCCTGACCTAGAAGGGTAGAGCATACAGTGATAATGTAAATGGGAAACAAATGTGCATCCAAGACTTTGCAAGTAACTCACTTCAGCCTAAATATACCCTGAGTTAGGTAATTCGAGACTAGAATCTTCTAAGAAGATAGTGTGTGAATTCCACCTGTTTGTGGCAGTGGAGAATGTTAGCAGTGCTACTTGTCACTGGCCCTTTCCTGGGCATCGCCTGCTATGAAGAGCTCAGTCTGAGAGGTCATCATAAAGAGCTAGATGACATGAGGAGAGGGTTCCAGGAGGTCTCATCCCATTCCTTTCTTGGAGTGACTGCCCTTTCTACAGCAGCCTCTTAGCGGGTATAACAAAGACATTCAGGCCAAGGTTATCAAAATCAGACCTAACTAACTCTGTGACCTTGGACAGATAATTTAATATTTTCTAAGCCTCAGTTTTCTTGTTTATAGAAATGGAAAAATGAGTACGAAGAACTTAACCCTGGCAATATAAGCTCTCGATGAAAGTTAGCTTTTTTTTAAAAAAGTACCTTTTGATTCATCTCATTTTAGTAAATATTTCACACCTGTCTGAGTACTGCTTAGACAACAAAGGTGAAACAAGACCGAGACCCTGCTCTTGGTAAACATTTTTGTAGGCATGTGCATTCAAACTCTGAATGCTGTAATGTAAAGTGGATTAGAATTACAGTAATAATTTCCTGAGTTGGCATTTTGGTTAAAGAAAAATATTTGGAAGAACTTAGCATTTCTTAACTCTAGCTGTAATTTGATCAAGAAGAAACTACTTTTGCCCGGCCGAGCGTGGCTCTGCAATTGAGCGTCGACCTAGGATCCAGGCGATCGGGGTTCGATTCCCAGTCAGGGCACATGCCCGGGTTGCGGGCTCGATCGATCACTCTCTCATCATTGATGTTTCTATCTCTCCCTCTCCCTCTCCTTTCCTCTCTCTGAAATCAATAAAGATATACTTTTTAAAAAAAGAAGAAGAAACCATTTTGGTAGAGGGTAAAATTGGAAGAGGAACTGGTAAAGAGGAAGCTATGTAATCCTTGGTTAAGAGTTTTTTTCCAGAGTTCAGGGCAGTAAAGAGAGGAAGGCAAGAGGACAGAGTCTAGTCTTGCGTGTGCCTCAACTGCAAGAAGACATATTTTATTTTTATTTTTTCAATTTATCTGTATTGTTGAAAGTATTACAGATATTCCCCTTTTTCCCCCACTGGTCCCCTCCCCCCTG